CATGCATGCAGACTTCTTCGAGCTCATAGAGCTGCAGAAGGACATCGGTCGCGATTCGCTTGGGCAGGCGGTGCGCAAAAAGCTCCGGTTGCCGATCGCCTTCCTGCACCCATCGACTAACAAAGACAGGTATCTCGCCCACAAGCGGGTCTTGGTCAATCAGCAAAAACAGATCATCTGCACCCTGCTGTTCGAAAACTTCAGGCAAGGGCCGAACAGGTATGACCGCAGCCTGAGCATCAAAGGGCAGCGTAGATCGCACAAAGTCCCGCAGCACAGTCGTGAAGTCAAGTTTCTCCATCACGAAAAACTCATCAACTGCAAGCTCCCAATGAACAACTCGATCATCCATAGTCGAGTACAACACGAAGTCAGGCCATTGGTCACGCGCAGCGAGAAAAGCAAGAGCTTCTCGCTGGAAACTCTCAAAATACAGGAAGCTAGTGGTAGTTCGAGTATGATCAACCTTGCGCCTCCAAGCGAGAAATCTGTCCCTTTCTTCCACAAGCGCTTCATCGTCCGCCAAGAACACTGCAGGCCTACGAACCCACTCGGCAGTACGATCAGCATAAACGGTCTGGAAAAGAGACGTAGAGTCAGACCCGTCATGGGAAGCAGGAAAAGGCACAGACACACCAATTTGCCTCCGCCGTTTCGAATCAATAGCAGCGCACGGCGACTCCCTAGGGTAGTCTATTTCCCCGATCTCAGGAGTCTTGCCTGCGCTCGAAACGTCATGACCACTATCAATTCGCCCTCCTTCGAACTGCAAGAGTGTGTGCTCATCGTCTTCATGGGAGTGCTCGTCAGCGGCAAGACAGGGCAAGCTTGACTCATGCTCAGGCAGAGCGAGAAGGCCATTTGCTGGCTCATCGCTCGGCTGGGAAGACCAGGTTGTATGGGTCACGAACTCTAGGCTTGTACCAGTATCCAAAGTCGAAGGCTCAGGGTTATCTAAATCTCTATCTGTCCGACTTCGGATCTGCAGCACAGCTCCTGGAGTGACAGGGACCCTCGCCCAGTAGTCAACTCGGTTACCCTGGTAAAATGTACGAAAGGGGAAGCGAATTGCAGTGCGGGTGTGCGCCCAGTCAATAATTTCAGAAATGTACTCCCACCTCTGGGCCATGAGCACTACATGCACCATGTGGGAATCCGTATCGACCTGTACTACCAACGGCATAATGTCGTTTTCCAGGTGCTGAACGACCACTACGGATGGCATGTTTTGGTACAGCTCGACCGCTACCGGAAAAGCTCTCGTGAAATCGTGATCGAAAGAACACGTATATTCTTGGCACCAGTCGCAAACATGCCGATAGGACCTATCAGGCTCCAAAACCCAAGCTGGGCAGTAAGCACCACAAGTAGTCGTGCTCCCGCCCCTGCAGAGAATCACGTGCACAAGCTGCTGATTTCGTCTATGCACATCGGCACGGCAGTACTCAGCCAGATATTGTTTAACACGGGTCCACACTGAAATCCAATCGAAGTCAGTGTTGCGAGTATTTATGACCCAACCGTTATGCGGACCGAAAGAAGCATCGGCAGAAATACTAGTCGGTTGAGTAGGTTCACTAGTGTCATCTATGCTGGCTGACTCTGCCTCGGATCCGTCTTGCGGTCGTTGCATCAAGAAGAGTTCATCTGTACTATATGCTGGATCAACTAGCTCAGTACTGGAAGCACATCCCGATCGTGGCATCACGAAGAAGCTAGACGTTTGCATGAGGCCATGATCATCGCTTAGGGTACGAACGTCTTCCAAACTCGCCGGCTGATCTACACTATCCCGGCTTTGCAAGGTCTGCTCACAAGTCTCTTCATAGTTCTGCGTCAATGCGAAACTGCTTCCATGAGGCTCGTCGATTTGTTCATCACCTCGCCAAGTAACAAATCGCCCTTGTCGCCTAGCAACCAGAAAACATTCCCTTGCATCACAGAGAGAACCATGCCCAGACTTGCTAAAGATCATGCTGGCTTTCTCATTACGCGCACAGAGTGTTGCAAACTTCCGCGGTATGGGCCCTACCAATGCAGTGATCAAGTACACCCTATAGCCGAGTCGCAGCCTGTTCATAGTAGTACCCACTATATGCGGAAAAGCTCTCTCAGGTGCGCCAAAACCGGATTCTCTTTCAATTGCAAGCCCCAACGGTTCTTCGTCGACCTCATCTGCCCATGCAGCTAGGAGATCAATTGTCAAAGAGCGAGGAGGGGCATAGTCAACAAATCGTTGTTTCCACAAAATATCATGCACAGCCAGGACCACCCAAGTGACTGCTCGGCGAATAGGAGGCCCTTCACCGAGCGCGATGGAGATATAGTCTGAGAGGACATCTGATTGTCGGGCCACCCCATAGCTCGCATAGAGTATGTCGCTACCCTCAGCATGGAAATGAGACACTTGCGAAATGCCATCTTGCAAAGGCAACTGCATAAGAGAACTTACCTCGTCAGGAGTTGCAGTGTTTCCTCCCGAGGCTTCAAATTCGCTACCGACAGTTTCGCCTGCTGAAGATGTCGCGAAAGATGAGGGGGGCTCTCCCTCGAGACTGCTACACGCAGAAGTGCTACTTGTACTTGCCTGCGCATGTTCATAGAGCTGAACAAAGTCTCCTGGCATCCACCTCAACACTTCGCCGAGCTGAAAGGAAATGCCTCGTACTATAGCAAAACAGTGATGATCGTGACACGAATGGCCAATGCAGACTTCATCGAAGATCGTTCCTACTAGGCTAGCATCAGCAACATCTCCCAGATATGTCCGCATGTAAACATGGCCTTGGACTCGGCATTCAACAAGAAAAGGCTTCATCATGGGCATCACTGCCGCAAATAGAATAAGCATCGGCCGCTCATGCTCCAAAATTTGAGGCATCGGGTCCACAGCAACATAGCTCCAACAACTCGGTGGGCCGTCAGGCCATGGCACTCGCCAGATTGCGCCTGCGCTACATAGCCGGTTTCGTGCAACCGATCTGCTCACAGCACAAACTGACTTTGCTGTGGAATGTCTGTGGAACCACAAAACAACTTCACTTTGCCCTTCTATTTGCTGAAGATAGTGTATTAGCATGTGCTCATTACTCAGTTGCGAGGACATCTGCATTGTCGAAGACAGATCTCCTCTCCAATCCGAAGCCGCTCTCGACAAGGTTGCAGTGTTACCCTTACCGATGCGACATGACAGAGAGGCCTCGACAGGAACGACGTCAAGCTGGAGTCCTGTCGCATGAGGCACATCAACCCATTCATCCAAGCTCCAAACTTTGTCTCCGTGCTCGGATGAAAATCGCAGCGTACATACATGGAGGGTTGGGGCACAGACTTCGCTGAGCCCAATTTGCTCAACCAACCATGCACAGAGAAATGTATGCTCGCTCAAAACTGAAACTCGTCTCGGCATACGAGGGGACACCACATCGACAACGATTCGCTTCTTCCATTGTCGAAGCTGATCATGGGTCAGCCCAACAAAATCGATCGGCCAGACACGCAAGGTCAACGGCGGCAATCGAGGGTACACCAAGGCTAACAAGAAATCTTCGTTGCTTGTCACGTCTTCAACCGCTTGCACTATTGCCTGGGTGAACGATCGCGTAGGCTGGAACACAGCGAGACGTGGGTGAAGTGCAACACTCGAGTGGGCAATCCATATTTGGGCAACCCCAATAGCCTGATCAGGAATTTCATAGACTGTTCGTACATAAGGCCTCACAACGTCTTGGCTTTGCACATCTGACAGACGAATATGGAGCTCCCCGAGGAATGCGGCCCCACTTCTAGGCAGGCCACGGCTTTCGGTAGAAATGACATATGCTTCAATATCTCGATCCTCTTCAACTGTGAACAGGTGCATAAGATGACTGACATCATCTTCCAGTTCTTCCGAGCTGCGGGCAGTGCTCTGATGGGATGACTCTGATTCGTCGTTTCCATCATCACATGTGCTAACTTGCGACTCTTCGGAATCACTGAAGAGGTATTCAGAAAGGAAGATATACAACCCTTCACGCAGGGGTACTCGTTCCCCCCCAACTATACACATGCGTTCGAAGAGCATCGAAAAACTTGACCTTACATTCTGCATCCCAAACACATCTATTCTGAGGGATGGCTTGGGCAAAAATCTCGCTCACCGAAGGGAACCCAGTAAACCTAAAAACAAAGGTTCCTCTCACACGGGTGTGGTCAGAATGATAATCAAGCAGGACAGGGAAAAGATCATCCCCACGAAATGTGGTCAGAATGGCGTTATGCTGTTGGTTAAGGCCAAAAAAAGGGCCTTGGACGAACTGGAAACACGAAGCAAGACCTTCGCCCTAGCACATGGTCCCAAGCACCCCGAATCTGAGGCGCTCCTGGGAGTATTGCATCAAAAGCAATAGTCCTTGCCTCTTGCGCTATCTGGCGAAACCGATCAGCAGCATGAAACCAAACGATGACCTCAGTGAAACGGCCGGAGCGTGGCAATTCGGAAATATACAAGTTGATCAGATCAGGGATCAGCGCACTGACTTGCATCAGACTCTGGAAATCTGACCCGTCTCCACCACTTCTCGGCAAGTGACTTGCAGCATGCTGATTCTGCATGCTCTGAGGGCCCTGAAGTGGAGAGAAACTACGAGTCTGCAAGCGAACAACACTCCCGTGCCGGAGGGAAGTTTCAGAAACGTCGCTTTCTTCTTCATATTGGCCAAACGTACGCAAGACATCATGGAGAACACGTCTATCGGCCAAAAAGGGCACACGACAAGCCCGATATTCATATCTAACATTGGTAGTCTGGAGCTGATGTTCAGCCACCATCAGGAAAACCTTGGCAGCTCGAAAAGCCTGGTGCTTATAGACTATGAAAGTCAAAGCATCTTCAGCATACATACTAAGGGCCTCAGACTGCTCGATTGCAACAATGCTACATTGGCCATCGCACTGATCCTGCCACACTTCGTTCAAATACTGTCCGACATCATCGAACCTTTCAGGCGGCAAAGCCGTCACCCTCCAATGCCGTCCACATCGAACTGGCGCTTCGGCAAACCATGAGACACAATTTTTGGCATTGGAACAAAACGGAAAGGGGGTGGAGGGTGCGTATGGTATCGCACCTTCAAATCGGCTCCGATAAGAAGCAAGTTCAACAAAGCCAACAAGATCACCATCCGCTTCACCAATGTCAGATTCGATAGTATCACTTTCGTTGTCTCCACTATCAGAAAACTCTTGGCTTGTGCAACGGAGTTCCTCAAAACGTGGTTGGTCAGCTCGACGAACAGCAAGGTCACTGCTCGGAGCAGGCTGGCAGCGCGATGAAGAGATAGAATGGTTGTCATTCGCTCCTGCAGTGCTCGTTGTAAGAACTTCAGCAGCACAAAAATTCTCTTCATACCGCTCCAACCGAAAGCCTTCTTCGCAGAGTCGCCCATCTGCAGAAACGGCATTATGCCCACAAGGCCGAGAGGCATATTGACCATCGAAGAAATCCCCGTAAAGAGATTGCTCATCCGATGAAGGATCCGGAAAAAGAGCACTCTTTTGAACAAGTTCTGCACCTGCAATATTACACAGGATGAACAAGGCGAGGAATTTCGAGCCCTTTTGTCTACGAGCATGAACAACAAGTCGCCGGGACTGACATTTGGCAGCACGACAAGGGAATACTGGGCAAGTAGACAAACGCCAGCGAAGGGCCTGGCAGAGCAATATAACTCCGCACATAAGTTCTTGAAGCCAAAGAGAACATAGCAAGATATGCACACCGCCGTAGCTCTCTTGGACATCGTCGCCGGCGAACTCAATCAAAACAAGGTTGAAAGCTGTAGAAGGGAGTAACCAGAAGATCAGCCCCTTCCAAAACTCCCATCGCGGCCAAAATGTAAGGCTAGGTCTGCGATTCCGCAAATTCCTCGAGGCATTGATGCTTTCCTGTAGAACACCAGCCAGCACCACCGCCCAAAAAGGGGTCAGCAAGTGAATCCAACCGTCATCTTCCAGAAAACGGAAAAGACACTGGCGCGCGAAGCCAATTCGCACATCAGCAATGGAAGCATGGACTGCACTTGTTCTTTCCCTATATCTAGGGACCGAACAATGATTCGTTGATCCCGATACAAAGCTCATACCCTCCAAGCTCCTAAGCGTAAAAGGTTCCCCAACATGCTCAGAAGCAGCACAAAAGAAAAAAACTGCCTGAATTTCGCACCAGGAAGCCACTTGAAACCACAACCTGGAACCCCTGCGAACTCAGAGGCCATAGCACACCACTACCATATAGAGGAAAGACTGTCATCCTGCTGCCTTGAAAATCGGCGCACCGAGTCCAGTCAATCGCACATTCAACTAAGAGTCGAGGCCATCGAACTCCCCGACCTGCTTTCCGCCATGGAGAGGACTCAAAGGCTTCTCCTGTTTCTCGTAGGGGCCAGCCCTCGCACCAAAAGGGCAAAGAGCTCGCGGTCTGCTGGGAGACTTGCCATATATGTCTTGCAGCTCCTCCATACCAGGCATCTGCGGGTTGAGGCCATTGGCAACCATCACATCCTTGATCAATCTGTTGACCTCGGCTTTCGAAGGGTAGTCCTTGATATTGGCATTGATCGTATTCAAGACAATTGCCTGACATGTCTCTGGGAGCGGAGCAATGGTGCTCTTGAGGTTCTTGAAAGGATCCTCCTCCTTCGCCTCTTCGACCTTTGGAACGGGAGATCTGGATCTGGCAGGACCATTCTTCACTTCCTCTGCCAGTCTCGCTCGCCCCCCTTGCATGCACCCTTTGCTCTGGTGACATAGCTGGCATGGCCGGAGAAATTGCTGGAGCAATTGCACCACCACCCATCATTGTCATGAGACTCATCATTTGATTCTGCATTTGCTCCATCATTCTGGCATTCTTTGCTTCCAATTCTGCTGTATAGGCCGTCAGGCCAACAAGGCCTTCTTGGATCTCCTTGAACTGCTTCTTGATGGTAGCCTTCGAATCGTCGTCTGAGTCTGAGACCATAGTCGCTTCGTCGTCTCCCTCTTGCTCGATATTCTTGATCTCTTCTTTCAGGCCTGCCAGGGCCTCTGCATGCCTCTTCTGTTCCTGCAAAAAGCCACGGTCCATACGCTCCTTCCATGACTCCCACCTCGATTCTTCCTTCTCTAGGTTCTCCTTTGCCTTGGACAAGCGGTTGAGGCTCTTTCGCTCTTCGTTCAACTCTCTTTGCTTCTGCTTCAAGAGTTCTCGAGGGCTGATCTTGACAAGCTCGGTATACTCTTCTGGCACCTTGTCCTTCTCGGAGATCTTTTCCATGACAAATTGCATGGCCCTCTTGAGCTTGGTATTCTCCTCCCGCAAGGATGACTCCAAGGATGATTGCGATGATTGCCCTTTGGAAACTGGCTCGTCGACTTTGACTTTTTTGCCATCGTAACCGTAGATCAGGAATCCTTCGTCCTTCTTCTTGGGCTGCTTCTTGTCCTTGTTCTTCCATCTCTGCGGATTGGCGGACTTCCAACCATCTTCGTAATAACCCTGCCATGACATCTTCTCACAAGGAGCTATAGTCCGGAGGCGGTATCTAGGCTTCGAATGGTGCGCTTCTAGCAAGCGCACACACTTGGCCAGCTTATTCAACTTCTTGGGGCGCAGGAAAGGCTTGTCCCTGAAGGCGTGAACAAAGTTCCTGGCCTTTTGGCGGGCAGACCGTGCACGACGGTGCCAGGCAGGAGAGGCTATGGCTCGCCCACCGGAGAGGATGCGACACACACGTGTCTGGGGCTACGATCCTTCCTAACTAGGCTATTCTCGAGCCCTACCTGGGCAGTTCAGCAAATAAACTTAAAGAGAACCAGTTCGCAGTTCAGGATGGTTCACGAGTTCGTTCCGCTGTTAGCAGACTGGCTTGCACTCCAGTCGAGTGATCCGACACCTCCTTCCTCGGCCCTGAGGGGTTCCGTGAACCAAAGAAAGACTCGCCAAGGATCGGCCCAGGTCGCCCAGGTCGTGGTTAAGAGGCTTCGTTGATTTTCAGCACAGGAGCAGGAGTGAGGTTTTGTCCTTCTCCTTTCTGCCTAGTTTTTGGAGTATAGATTAAGGAATATGTACCGCTCGTTAGGATTCCAACCATGAAACATTCATACCAATTCGCTATCAAATCAGTGGTTCTATGGCGAATTCATGTGTATGTAGGGAAGGGAGTCGCCACTAAAGTCACCACAAGACATTCCACGTGTTGGAGGATCTCTCAACATGGTTTCCCATGTACAGTACTCCAGGCAGATGTATATCTGTAGGCTGTAGCTATGAGCCCACAAAACCAAACTAGCTTGCAAGCACTTGTTTGAAGATGTTTGAAGAACTTTCTGAAGAGCCATTCTGATGCTTTTGCAGGCACTGCGGTGTGCTTTGCATGTTGTCCTTCCATTCCTGCGCTGCGCAAGATCTTGTAGGCATTCTTTGCACCAGAAGCCTTGCAGCAGGAGCTTGTGAAAGATGTTGCTTGGCCATGCAGAGCTGCGAAACTCACGAGACAGCAAGTTTGGGCAGTGGACTTCGACGACGGTTGCTGATACCCCGGAGAAGTGTTGGCAGGTGCCATGGTCGTAAGATATATTTGCCATTCCATGCCATTCCTCTTTTCTTGCTCTTTGTCAATTCAATGCAGACAAGGCACAAGGCTCGCAGCAAGAAGCGCCAACAGATGCTGGGATACCCAGAGCCACAACCATCAGAAAAGCAACACGGAGAGAAGAATAAGCTTGCACCCCCAAAATGCCTGCCAAAACTGGGCCAAAACACATCTAGCGTTAGCATGTGTGAATCCAACTTGCAGTTGAGAGCAGCCTTCATCAATCTGTGAATTGGGAAATTGAAGACATGAAGCTTGATATTGCATTGTCCAAAACTGATTTTGGCAATGTGGCAAAGCAAGTTCAATCCTAGATTTGAGCTTTGAGCATGAGGCCCATCAGCCCAGTGAAGTTGAAGCCCCACTGGAGGTG